GGGCATTGAAATTGGCTAAGGGAAATGGCTGATTACAAAGTATTACTCTATTCACTTACTCCTAGCCTACAGGAAAAAAATATTAAAGAAAAAGCAAACAACAACAAATATGGTGAGGATAAAAAAATAAAGGAACCCTTGCAGATTGCCACTACACAAAGTAGTATGACCCCTATGGAAATCAGCATGGGGTTTCCTTATAAAACTGAAAATATAACTAGCATTTGACCAAAGTAAACCACTCTTGTGAATAGACCCAAAGAAATCTAGGTCAGCATACTACAGAGACCCTGGCTCATCCACACTCACAAAAGCCAAGTTATAGAATCAATCTATGTGCCCACCAACAGATAAATGAATAAAGAAAATGTGGCATAAATACAATATAGATTTTTATTCATCCACAAAGAGGAATGAAATTATTTGCAAGAAATGGGAGATTATCATATTAAAGAAAATAAGACTCAGGAAGACAAATATTGCATGTTTTCTTTCATATGTGTAGGATGTAGGAACCTAAGTTGCACACACGGGGGAGGGGAGAACATGAAAATACAAGGGAAAACTATTAGGGAAGAGGAAAGTGACAGTGTGAGGAGACAGGAGAGGATATGGGAGACAGAATATGGTCAAAGCACATGATATACTTGAACAGAAATGTTATGAAACCTAGTACTTTGCACAATGAATATACAATAGCAAAATATTATAAGGAATTATTAAAGAGGGACTGGAGAGATGGCTCAGCAGTTAAGAGCACTGACTACTCTTGAAGAGGACCTGAATTCAGTTCCCATCACCCACATGCACCAGCAGATCCAATGCCCACTTCAGAGCTCCATGGTCCTCATTGCACAAACATGCTGCAATTACAAATGTAGTCAAAGCATTCATAAACATAAAATTTAAAAATTAAAGGAAGCATTAAAGAAAAATCATAGCTTCAAAATGCTCATTAAGACTGCATAGGGTCCCTTTCCTTGGCTTGTCCTGCCAGTTCTAGCCTTCATTTCTCCTCTATCCATTCAAATCTCACCAGCCAGGTTTTCCTTGCCCTAACATCTCTAAAACATATCTTTCAAAAAGTACTAAAGCTTGTGTTTAGTTCATTCACAGTTTTTGTCTCTTTGGTCTCTCCAATTACACACTAAAAACAAACAAACAAACAAACAAACAAAAAACAAGAGGGAATTGTATTAGTCCAAAAACCTACTGATAACATACAATATTTCTACATGAATCCATGTGTGTAGCTGAAGGCTACCTAACAAGAAACAGTGCCAGACAGGAGAAACCTCCCTTTGGATTGTTGACCAGGGTAGTCCAAGAAACTCCCAAAATTGCACAGGCTATTGACACAGCCCTTGATTCCCTCCCAGAACGTGAAGGTAAGACCTTATTGCTGAAGAGAGAACATATTTCGGACACAGGATTTGGAGCAATGGAGCTGGAACTGACCTGGAACTCACCTCTCCTGAAGGCTAACACTCACAGTTTTGGAGAGTACTATCCAAGCTGCTATGGGAGAACATCAATCCATGTCCCAACTCCAGCTTTAAGGCCCAAAAACCACATTAAAGACAATCACAACCATTGACATAAGTGTAGTATTGGCAGTATTGGCACTTTTATCTTGGGTGTAATCAACAGCTACCTAATTAGACTTAAAGACCACTCAGTGGGGGAAACTCTTGTGCTTCTTAAAAGAAACTACATTAAAAGAGGTCAAGAAAATAATAAACAGCCATGGATTGGGAGGAGAAGCTTCCTGGTAGGGGTGGTAGAATGCAGTAGTATGAAGGGCGGAAGGGTTAAATGGGGTGGGGAATGGGAGAGCAGGGCAGAGGAAGGAGTATGGGGAGAGGTAAGTAACACTAAAGACGTTTAGAAAAAGCCATATAGAAATCTACCACTATAGAAGGTTCTTAAAGCATATGTGTGTGTGTGTGTGTGTGTGTGTGTTTGTGTGTATGTGATTCTGCAACAGATGGTGATTAACAGAGAAACTCACAACTGGCAACAGGCGGAGAACAAGAGGCTTTAGCCTGACTAGGGCACCTATATCAAACTTCTGCACCCTGAGGCTCAGGGTTCATTGCAGAAGAGGGGACAGAAAGACTGTAAGAGTGAGAGGTGGTGGATGACCACAAAGAAACAGAGTTTTCCAGGCAGCTGGCCAGTTACTCATAGGAACTCAAAGAAATGGTGACATCATGCACAAATCCTATGCAACTCAAACCAGAAAAAAAGATCCCAGTATAGACATGAGGAAGTGGGTAGGAAGCTCTAACCCACCTAAGGAAATTGTGGCAACAGATGGCTTTTGGGAGGGGCAGAGGCATTGTCTTTCAAGCATGGGACTCTTGGCAGGTTAACCAGGCTCCAGTGTATGGACCTACAGGGAAGGATATTTGGGGACACAAATTCAACTCAATAGGCCTTATTATATACACAATAGAGTACATTAAGTTGACTGGGGTAGGTAATAAGAGAAGGTGGGGTTAGAGAGGAGATCTAAATACCATCAAATTATACCATATGAAAATCCCAAAAATTCAATTAAAAAAAGGAAAAATTAAAATGGAAATATGTATTACAAAGAAGCATTTAAGAAATTTAGGGCTGGAGAGTTAGCTCAGTGGTTAAGAGTACTGACTGCTCTTGCAGAGGACCAGGGTTTGGTTCTCAGCACCCACATGGAGGCGAATAACTGTACTTAACTCCAGTTCCAGGGAATGCGACTCCCTCTTCTGACCTCCTGACCTCCATGGGTGTGACACGACAGGGGTGCGCATATATATATATATATATA